TCATATTGTCTACACAATTGTTTCTAACACATAAATGATCAAAGTACAAATGCTCACTTAAAATCCAAAAGGATTTAAAGGACAAAAAATACAGATATAATTTCTTAAAACACAAAAGGAAAAAATCTCTCCAAAGAAGTTCATGTGTTTTGCATGAGAGGTTATTAGGGCAATATACACATAATTATTATGTTTGAGTAGTTACTCTTCTTCACAGTTGGAACTTGAAGAAAAAAAGATAAGACAAGTGTGGTGTGTGTGTGTGTGTGTGTGTGTGTATGTGTGTGTCGGGGGCGTGGTGGAGGGTAGGCAAGCATAGAAGTCTTCCAGTGAATTTCTCCTGCTTCTTCTAGATACTCTCCCACTTCTTAAACACATTCACAGTGGATTATTTTGGAAAAAGAGTGATCCACTTCCAAGTCAAAGGAATAGATCTGTTATATTGATACATTGCTGGTGAGCTCTGAGAGCCTGAGTTTGTATATAGTTCTGGTCTCAACTGCCTCCAATAATTGTTTCATGCATTACAGAATACTTTTATGAACAAATATTGCAACTAATTAAGGTTAACCTGAAGAGTATGCTACCCAAACAGTATAGAAAGTAGCTTATCTCATCAGAATTCAGGGTCCGTATGATTCACCAGTTTCACAGGATCATCAAGTATACAGTTCGATATGTTTCTGAAGTTAACTAAACACTAAGTTTGAAGTGATTTTTTTCCTTTTCTTAGTAATATACATACAGTATTGATAAAATTTTATGTAAGGTAATCATAAATATATACATATATATACATATTAATATTCTCCAACCAATTGAATAATATATCTTAAATATCACCATAATGTAACATTGAATATGTAAATAATTGCATACACAATTATAGGCTTTCAAATCTCTTTCATTTATAACTAAATTTCTGTAAACATAAATGTCTAAAATATCACTATAAATAGTTTAGCATACAACTATAATAGATTGCATCATAAAATGTATTATTTTAGTAAGCCTTTTTTAAAGAAATCACCAATTATGAATTTAAGATATTTAATAACTTGTTAGGTTTCTATAGGTTTCCTTGTCAATATGTAAAGAAGTAAAAGGGAGAGAATGAAGATAAAAGATTACACTTTCTCAGAAAAAAAATGGAAATACTTTCCTATCAACTGCTTCTCCTCATGCACGCATCAGTAGACTTCTCATTACATAATGTTGTTGGCAAATCTTGCCAAATTTAATCTTCTGTATCGAGAGTGGAGATTCAACAAGTATCAGACAGAAAATAGTTTGCTTTCGTGCTAAACAAAAAAGTATATTGTTATTCTGGGTATTATTTTACAAACAGTATGGTATAAAAATGACATTTGTGTAGTTTGTGATACTTTGGATATTGTATGAACCACAGAAATCACTTAAAGTAAAATGAGTTTTGGATGTCACTATATCCATTAACCACATGTGTCATTCTATAGAAGAGACTTGAATATCTGGAAACCAACCCTATGGATCACAAGAAACATTATTATTTCTTTACGTAGAACAATGACTGCGGCTAACAGGAGGGCACAGGTTTTGTTTCATGTACCATTAATTAAAATCTACTGTAATTTTCCTACAAATACAATAATATAGATACCCAACAAATCTTGGTAATATTACAAGAATAAAAGAGAGAATCACAATGTACATTTCAAAGTGATTTTACTCTATTTTATTTTCCCTGTTTCTTACTATGATAGTTGCACCAAGTGGACCCATGGCTTCTTTCCAGTTAATCAACCTTTGATGGTCTACAGCCTTCATTTTCAAAATGTAGTATTCATAAAGGCCACCTGCAGAGCTTATTAAAAATACAGCAGCCTGGGATAACACCCAAAATTCATTCAAATTCAAAAGATGTGTAAAATGTTACAACATTTTAACAAAAACCAAGGGAGGTATGCTATTCTTGAGTAAAGAACAGTATTTAGCTAATTCCTGAATGTCAGCTGTATCATTACTGTCTATCTTCCAACATCACCCAAATTGCAATGTATCTAAGAGTTGGCTTGAGAAAAAATTATTTTATCAGGTTTTTGTTTGGTTTTATTTTGCTTGGTGCCTGTGTTTTTTTTTTTTTCAAGAAGTAAACAAGATTGGTTGAAGTCAGATGCACATCTTCATTAACCACTGATTTCAAGACTCTAAGAGGCAAATGAAAAGAGCTCAAGGCATATGAAAAGCATGACAGTACTTTGTATGAAGCAAGTTCCTTAGAAATAACATTATTTGGATTTCTGATATAAAATTTAAGACTTATTTGTATTATGAAACTTGAGTTACCACCTGTTTACTTTTTGAAGTTTTGCTCAGTGACCTTCACAGTGGTATTTCCACACAACTAAATAACTACTAATTAGTTAAATGAACTAACACAAATACTTAGCATTATATATAGGTCTTGATGAATGTGTGAATATTAATATTATGGGTACTACATAAAGACACCTAAATATTATGGGAAGTCAAGGGAAATGATGCATGAAAATAAAACCCTATGTAATATTCTGCTCCTGCTAATTTTATACTGTCCACTTGTTTTAAAAATACTTGGAGGTATGCCAAGCTCAAATATAAATTGAGAACACTACATTTTTCATAATTATTCAAGATAAGGTTTCTGTTGTTAGCCCCTGGTTGTCCTGGAACTTGGAAGTCTCTCTCTGTCTCTCTCTCTCTCTCTCTCTCTCTCTCTCTCTCTCTCTCTCTCTCTCTCTCTCTCTCTCTCTCTCTCTCTCTCTCTCTCCCCAGATTAGGCTGGTTGGAACTCACCAGCCTCTGCCTCCCAAGTGCTGGCATGAAAGGCATGCATCATCATTGTCAGGCCCATTTTCTAATTTTTCAAACATTAGTTTTAAATCATACAAAATCCAACAACAACCACTATCAAGTTTATAATTGCCTGTCTGGGGGGTACTTTCTGGAGACTTTGAAATGTCCTGGTTTCTACAAGCATAACACAGTCAAAATCTTGGCAAATCTACTATTACGTTCTTGGCTATCATTGCCTTTCTATGCTCTTTATAACTATATTCAGTTCTCATTTTTCTATTTATATCCGTGCATGGTAAGAGGCATGGGACACTTCCTCCCTAAAGGAATTATCAATCACCTCAGTCCCAACTTAGATTTTGTTTCATCTCATTCCTACTTTGGCTGACACCCAGGTGACATTATCAGGAATTTGGTCAGTCATCATTTCATGTTCCAATTTGTAAGTGGTATTGAACAAATTTCAATAGATTCTTTGTCCATTGTTTTTGTCCTTTTTCTGAGAAGGCACTGGATTTTTGAGTCAGTAGAACTTGTGTAACCTCACTAAATTTCAACTACTTTTTGCCTTGTGCATTAAATGTGTTTAATCATGTAACATTAACAAGCATATCTATTTAAATCTCCAGATATTTGCAATGACCCATTTAAGTCAGCTCTTACACAGGCCTTCCTGACATTCCCCTACCAATGAATTAGGAAGCTGCTGGTAATTTTTGTCTGTTAATGTATTATGGTGTATTTTGGAAATAATGGAGAATGAAAACACTTTTCAAATATTTATATTTTCAATGTCATGTGTGCCAACCATATTTGCTCTCTCTATTTCTTTATTTGCCAAGGAGGCAAGCCAAAATGGGAGTGGAAAGCACTGTAGGGACATAAAGTAAGCTTGTTTCAAATATACCAAGTAGAGCTGGGACTTCAATGGAAAAAATTGGAGAACATTTCCTGGCTACACAGTATACAGCAGCTAACAAATCAAGTAGGGACAAAGCTACTTTATAAGCCATTCAACTTAATATTTTGGGTTGTTTTTCATTTAAAACATCACATATGAAGTATTATTCAGTGGCAATATTCTGGGAAAATTGCTCCTATGCACAGAGCAAACATAGCTCTGCCCAGAATGTGTATGGAAATATAAAGGTAAATAGGTAGATTGTATGAGGAATTGTGAAGCTACTCATGTGAACTTGGCTTTTCACTGTTTCATTTTGTGTTTTTTCCTAACATCTACACAACATTAGGTTATTGGTTTATGGTCTTACTGCTCTCAAACACCTTCACATTCAAAGCAGGAATCAGCATGATTAACACTTTAATGAACTATATTTTATATAACCACATAATAATATTACATGCCAATATTTCTATCCAGATAGAAGTTTTTGCCATTTAAAAGGAGTTTAAGTAATTAGTTTTACAAGGAGGCACTGCCTTGAGAGTTGTGAAATTGAAATACTGGAGTAGAATATATATATATATATATATATATATATATATATATATATATATATGTGATTTAATACTATCCTTGTAGAGCCCTATGAGACCTGAAGAATACATGATAAAATTATCTTTATCCATTCTTTAAATTTTCCATCAATAAATCCTTAAATCTGGGTGTCATGGTTCATATCTGTAATTCCTACACTTGGGGCAGGAAACTCAGGAAGTATGATCACTTCAAGTTTGTGAGTTCAAGGCCATTTTATAATACATAGAATTCCAGGTCAGTCTTGGAGTAGACAGTGAGACATTCTCTCAACAAACAAAGCACCTCTCATGGTATCACATATTATTACTGATTATTGAAATGTGTGTGGGACATGTTAATGATTGAATTATAAGCTTTAATGTTTGTAGGAGAAGAAGGACTAGGAAAATGACATACAGAATATTAAGACCGGGTTTGGATGTGCACTATATTTTTTGTTTTGAAAACTTCAACTCGGTATTGAATCAGAGGGATTCAATAGTCATGTTCTGTCACACAGAATAAAAGTTTTGCTGTTGACAATGGCTAAATTAAATAAAAAACAAAAATGAATTATCTATTGGGAATAATCTTGGAAGCTTATTTTTATTCTTGCCTTTCCAATACTAATCCAAGGACTTGGGAATGCCCTATATGCCATGCAATGAGATCTACAGACCTTAAGTTAAAAACTTAAAAGGGGTAGATGGCACAGCCATATCTCATGGGACTGACAAAAATCATAAAACCAATGCAGCTGCTTGACAAAGACAAAGACATAGGTTTGTGGTCTGTAGGCAATCTGATTATACATTGTTTTATGTCTAATATCCACTTATGAGTAAGTACATATTGTGTTTGTCTTTCTGGGTTTGGATTACTTTACTCAGGATGTTCTTTTTTCCTTTTTTTTTTTTTTTTTTTTTTTCTAGTTCCATCCATTTGTCTGAAATTTCAAGATGTGATTTTTTTTTTACAGCTGATTAGTGTTCCAATGTGTTAATGTACCACATCTTCTTTATCAATTGTTTAGTTATGGGGTATCTAAGAGGCTTCCATATTATGGCTATTACAAATAATGCTGCTATGAACCTAGTTGAACAAATGTATTTGTGGTATGTGTGTGTATTTTTTGAGTATATGCCAAAGAGTGGTATTGCTGGGTCTTGAGGTAGACTGATTCCCATTTTTCTGAGAAACCTCCATACTGACTTCCAAAGCAGTTGTAAACGTTTGTTGCTCCCACCAGCAATGGAGGAGTGTTCCCCTTTCTCCACATCCTCTCCATATAAACTGTCATTAATGTTTTTGATCTTAGCTATTCTGACAGGTGTAGATGGTATCTCAGAGTTGTTCTCATTTGCATTTCCCTGATGGGGACCCCAGCTAAAAATTTAAGCAATAGTGGAGAGGATACCTTAACTGTAACTGTAATCAGACTGGTGACTTTCTCAATTGTCATCATAGAATCTTCATGTAGTAACTAATAGAGGCAGATACAGAGATGCACGCATTAACACTGAGCTGAAATCCTGGAGTCTAATCATAGAAAGAGAGGAGTGATTATATGAGCAGAAGGGTCAAGAATATGATGAGGAAACCTACAGAAACAGCTGACTTGCGCAAATAGGAGCTCACTGACTCTGGAATGACAGCTGGTGAACCTGCATAGGACCAAACTAGGCCCTTTGAATGTGTGTGGCAGTTGGTGTCTTGGGCAGTTTGTGGGGCTGCTAGAAGAGCATCCAGTATTTATCCCTAGTGCATAAACTGGCTTTTTGGAGCCCATCCCCTACAGAGTGATACTTTGCCCAGCCACAGTGGGGAGAGCCTTTGTTGAAAGGGAAAGATAACTGAGATGGTATGCAAAATAAGATTGTATTTCAAACAAAACAAAGAAATGCACTAAAAACCCCAACAAAACAACAACAAAAGACTTAGGCATTTCTTTTTCTTAGAAAAGTTAGCTCATGCAGGGCCACTGTTGTGTCTTATGACCAAGGAACAAAAAATTGCCTGGATTAAACATATAAAAATTCTATAAAATATAAAATGTAAGCCATTGAAATATGCCAGAATTTGAATAATAACTGCAGCAGCTTTGGCCTGAGGATTTTTCATTGATACTCTGATCATTAAAGGTTAATAATAAACTACTCAAGTCCCAGTAAAATCTGCCAAGGCTGGCTTGGAGGTTTTCTTTCTATCTTGGCTCCTTGAAGATGCAAGAGCTACCAGCCTAAGAACACTGTCATATGTCTCTATTCTTAAAATTTGAGTTATGTGGTTAATGAGTAAGTGATTATAAAAGATAACTCTGTTTATCAATGATGACTACACTTATGACTCCAAATGTGCAAGGGAAAATTGAAACACATGTTCAGAAACAAAAATGATAGTCTATGTTTTGGATCATCCTGAATTCAGTGTAAGTAAAGAAACATTCTGACTGCTAATTAGTCAGGCTGCAAGATTCTCACCATTACCATGGCTTGGCTCACTATTTTCCTTGCCTACTGCTTGCCTCCTCTCCAGAACCTGCTGTGGCCCTGTTCCCAGGATCTGTATGTCATATATGATGTATACCTTAGATAACTACATGAACTATCTAAAGTCAGTCTTGTTTGCAAAATAAAAAGAAAGAAACAATAACAAATTAGGACAAGAAAATGGTATTTGATAATGCATACATGCATTAAATAATGTGTGATAATTAATTATGCTCATTCTATTAAGCAATGAAAAGTTTCTAGTGCATACTAAAATTATTACTCATTGGCTTGTGGTGATTATTTAAAAATATGAAACATACTAATGTTTAAATTTTTTTTCTCTCTCTCTCTCTCTCCTTTCCCCTGCCATTGCCTACTCCAACCTTTTTGGCCATTTTACCTTCCTCCCTTTAATAAGCATCAGACGAAGAAGAGCCTACTTCAGCAGGTAAGTGTCCTATATTACAAGGATTTGTTTTCCTGTTTAATTTATCATCTTATTGATGAAATATTGAGCTGGAGCAGTATCTCCATAGCAGAGTACTCACCAACTCTAGGTTCAAGCTACTGTAGCCTCCAGAGCCTCACTAAATGATGTTTAAGTCAAGGTACACAACTCCAGTCCCAGCCCTATGGAGTCTGATGCAGGACAAAATGAGGTCCAGGGTGATCTGCCTTGCTCTGAAAATTTCCAGCCAGGCTGGAATGCAAATTACAATTCTGTCTAAAATGGGCAAATGGACATATGTAAAAATGAAGGCTCAACTTTTTGAGGTTACTTTCTTCATGTTGCAACCAGTAAATTGGCTCTTTTGTTAACATTTTTTTTTTTTATTTCATAGGCAGGCTATACTAAACTAGTTTGAATGATGTTGGCTCAGAAAAATTTGTGAACCAAGACAAAAACTCAATTAAGCTATTACAGAGGAAATTGTAGCAATACCAACATTAAAGAACATGGAATCAGAAAATTTGGGTATTGAGGAAAAATGCTTAAAAATAATGACAGTAAACATTTCAATTAAATCCACAAAAAGAAAAAATGATAGTTTTTCTGAAATATTCTCTTTGAACCTATGTTTTATTATCAAATACATCTATAATCAGGCATAATATTCAAGTTTAAGAATGAAAATTATGAGGTTTACCAAGTCACATATTAAAAATTTTTAATTTCCATATATATATATATATATATATATATATATATATATATGTGACAGCACTGTTTATTTTTTTCAATTTTTATTTTACATATCTATCCAAGTTCCCTTTCCCTCCCTCCTTCCCTTCATTTCTCCTTCCCTCCCTCCCCCTTTCCCTCTCTACCCCCCTCATATGCACCCTCTCCTCCCATCTCCCCCCCCCACTCTACATTTAGGATGATGCCAACCAGGAGGGTTATCTAAATCTGTCAAGTCATTTGAAGTAGGGACTAGGACTTATGTCTGTCCTGTCTCTAGGTAAAGGCACTATCCCTCCATGGAGGATGTGCCCACAAGGTCTTTTGGGCACCAGGAATACATCCTGGTTCTACTGTCTGAGGTCTCTTAGACCGCTCAGGCATTCTAGCTGAGACCCATGTTCAGGGGGTCTGAGTCAGTCTCATGCTGGATTCCCAGCTATCAATCTAGGGGCCCATTAGCTTCTCCTTGGCAAGTCAGTTGTCTCTATGTTTCTGTAGCGTGGTCTTGTCCTCCTACTCTGCATCTGGGTTCTAGTTTAGCTCGGTGTTTAGTTATGGGTGTTTGCTTCTGTTTCCAACAGGTACAAATGAGGGCTCCATGATGGTGGATAAGTTAGTTGATGATCTCATTGTCAGGAAAGGGCATTTATGGTAGCCTTTCCTCTGTTGCTCAAATTGTTTCTTGGAGTCAGTCTTGTAGGTATCTGGACATTTCTTTAGGTTCAGTTTTCTCTTCAATCCTATAATGGCTCCCTCTTTTATGTTCTCTCTCCCTCTCTCTCTCCCTCTCTCTCTCTTTTCTGTCTTCTATTCCTCCTCTGACTCAATCTTCCTAGTCCCACATACTTTCCTCTCCTCCCTTTCTCTTTCTCCTAGTTCCCTCATCTCTCACTACCCCCACACTCCCCATGTGTCTGGAGATATTCTTAATGTAATATTTAACCTTATAACATGATGTTGTTGTCATCCAACTAATTGGGATTTTTAAGCACAGGGTAAGACCTGAAGTGAATATCACTGAGAGTATCAGTGTTGGAATTGGTAGAAGGGAATATGGACTTTTTAACTTATTTCAAGGAATGTGAGACAGACCCAAGAAAAACACTAGGTGGGGAAAACATGATTCCATGGACAGACTGTGAAGAAATTCTCACTGACTGACAATTAACAAAATACCAGAGTACCCGGCCAGTAGCTCCAAAAGAATGAAGGCCTAATATGAAGTCATTGTAGATTTTGAAGGGAACCGTTTGATGAGGTCAACACTAGACAGTTTCCTTCTTAGTGGGGAAAAGGCCAGAGGGCTCAGAAATAAAAGGAAGAAATGGTTCCCAAAGATAAGGCAACTCTGGTTGATTGCATGGCAGAGATGATTGGTGCTGCTTAATCTTGATTATCAATATGATTTCACTGAAAAATTCCTAGAAGGTTAGTAAAACACTCTCCTGAGGGAGGATGCTTCCAGAGAGGTTTCATTCATATAAGAAGACCCTGAATGGTCAGCTCCAATCAACTGCAAGGAAGCTGAACAGAGTAAGCAGAAGGAGAGCATCTGGTTCCTAGGCATGAGATGCCTAGAATACATAATAGAGCTAGAAGTAAACTGAGCAGATTATATCCTGAACTTTTGGCTTGGAAATGCTTATTTGGGTATCACAATAAAGCTCAAAAAGCAGAAGAATTAAACAATTTGAGTACGTCAAACAACAGCCTTCACAGAATAAAACAATTGGGGCACCAAAAAGGTGGCCAGTGAAAGGGATGGGAAGTAAGACTTGTAACACATATACCTGATATGAACTCCATTTCAGGAAAAGAAACACAAAATGTAGCAACAAGTCCCAAATGAATTAACAGTTAGACAATTGTTTTCATGTAGCCTTCTGCAAACGTGGCAGAAGAATGTCATGGGAAAAGGATAAACTTCAGTGACCATGAAGGAAATATAAATCAAAGTCACAATAGCATCACTTCTGGTGTGTTAGTGATGGCTTTTATTCAAAAGGTATGAAAGGTTTTGGCAATGAGAGCTGCATTACACTTTGTAATACCTGCACTCTTCTCCATTTGTTTATAAATTTAACTTTTCATAAATTAAATAAAACTGTGTATTTGATATTACTCTAATCCAGGAGTCATAATAGTGACATTGCCTGTATTCAAAGCATACGTAATCTTCATGTGAACCCCAAGATGCTCACTACTTTAGGAGTGACAATTTCTTAAAAAGCTTTAAAATATTTTAAAACTATCAGTTTAGCTATATTGTAAAGATATCTTTCAAATATATTTTACACATATATAAAAGGTACAGACTGTGTTTTACTAGTAATGAAAGAGTATTGTCCTATCAAATAAAAAATTATTACTAAATCAATGTAACCTCTACTAAAGCACGATGATTAGATATATTTCCTGTAACTTTTGAAATCATTACTTTTGTTTATTGTGATGTCTTTTTTTACTCTATATAACATTTATTTCAGTTCTGTTTTCTATTTTATTGTTGAGTTTAATTCTGCATGGCTGAGTATGGTCAATTATTCTACAGCTCATATATTTCAAAAAGAAATGATCTCTTACCCAACCATTTCTTAACGAGCAATAGCTGCTTCCTCATTTCAGTCTTTATACTTTATTTCCTTGGGGCCAGAGTAGAGTACTACATTTTTATTCTTCTTTCTCTAGCATTAGTCATGAATTTTCTATAATCTTTTGTAGAGAAATACATAATACATATTTTCCTCTCCATTGCCTGAAGGAACTTTACTAATTATTTTATCAAGAATGGTCTTGCTCATAAATATATTCAAAACAGCCTTAAATATTAAAACCTAATTTATAAAATCCAAAGTTTATTGCTATAGTTTGTAAAACAAAAAGAAGCAATTATTTCTAGTTTCTCAGAAAAAGGAGGGAGAATCATTGCTCCTAAAGATTTAATTTCACTAATACGCCACGGCATTAACGTAAAAGATCAAAAAGTGAAAGTTTTCTATTGATAATTGTATAAAACAGAGTTATGATATCAATAGGAATTTGGAAGGATCATGTACCCCATATCTCTAGAAAAATTTAACAATTAAAGCATCAAAAATGTTAAAATATCTTTATACCAGAAGGATTTATAACACCTTCTTCTACATATTTCCAAATACATAGAGATAGGTAATGTATCATTACTTCCTCAAGATTTACAACTGAAACAAGCAGGTTAAATCTTATTGTTAAATCAAATCAGGGTACAGTGTAAACAATGCTTATTTTCTGGGGCATGTGCACATATCTCAGAACACATCCATTTAAAATTAGTCATGAGTTGTGACATGGTTTTTAGTTAAAGAAGCAAACTTTCTATTTGAAATTGTTTATGGTTTATTTCCTATACATATCTATAAAATAACACTTTATGTAACATGTAATTAGTATACACGATATATTACGTTATTTTTATACATAATACTATATATTCCTTCGATAGTTAAGACTTTCTTTTTTCTAATTATTCTTCTCATACATTACCTCCAAACTACATCCTCCCTACCAATCCTCCCCCAATATCCACAGTTCCTCCCTTTTCCTTACAAATAAAACAGGCTTTCCACGGATATGAACCAAACACAGCATAACAAAGTGCAATAAGACTAAGAATAACCTTCATATTCCATATTCAAGACTGCACAAAGCAATCCAGTAGGAAGAAAAGTGTTCCAAGAGCAGGTGAAAGAATCAAAAAGCCCCATTCCCACTGTTAGGAATCCCACAAAATCTTCACAATAAACAGTCACAACATTTATGCAAAGGGCTTAACATAGACCCTTGCTGTCTCTGTGTTTGTTGCTTCAATATCTGTGAGCCCCTATGAACTTACTTAATTGATTCTGGGGGGTCATGTTCTCCTGTTGTCCTTGACCCTCTGAACTCTACAATCATTCTTTTCACTCTCTTGTGGGGTTCCACGAGCTTCAGATAAAGTCTGGCTGTAGGTATCTGCATCTGCTCCCATCAACTTCTAGAAGAACATTGTGATGACAATTTGTCTAAGCATCAATATATTAGTATAGAAGAATATCATTAGGAATCATTGACCTGTCTTTTTTAACAGTTGTGTTTTGTTCTATCCTAGGTCTTTGTGCAGTCCAGCCTCTGACAGTCCCTGGCCTTCCAGGAGTGTGTGAGGCTTAGGTTCTCTCTTATGCTGTGGGCCTTAAGTGGGACCAGTCATTGGAAAGACTCATCATACTCTCATCCACATCTCTCCC